GTTCTGTAAGTAAGGTTTCACTGGAGCCCCTCCGGGCAGGGACGACACCATCAGGGCCCAGAAAGCCCCAGATCCATACTCCCTGGCCCTTTATAGAGGGGTTGCTGATCCCTGGGGTAGTGAACAGTCAAGAGCCCCTCCTGTGGTAGGAGTCTCGTGACAGTGCCAGGAAGGGGGGCTTCAGCAGCCTGGATCTCATCCTTGGATCCCATCTGGGTGTGGAATTCCAAATGTGGATGTGAAACAAAATCAGTATCAGTGATAAAGAAGCAGCTCGTGGCCTCACCTCTTGGGATCCATGCACCTTGGAACCTTCCAGATGTTCTTCTTGGCTCCTGGTCACATGGAGGTGCTGTTCTTCCTGGTTTTGTAGCGCGGCTTTGTGTTTGCCGGTGTGCATGCCTCTCCTGTGGCAGCACGTCTTTGCAGATGTCATTGTTCTCCTATGCGTTGACTTCGTCCTGTGAGTTCCGTTTTGCACAGTCTCATCCTTAGTCACCGTAGGCTGTTCCCCGGACTTTGGGTCAGCGATGATCGGTGCGGCTGGTGGCTTCTGTACTGATGGATCTTGGCGAGCGGGTCTCATGTTTCCTTGAAATAAATCCTGGCATTAAACCTGCCCAATCAGCATCCATGTTTTCCATTTGGGGACAGATATCGAGACTTGGTGTAACCCCTGGAGGGTGCCTGTCAGCTGGCCTCCCCAGCATGGACCCACCGTGATGCCTGGGCTGGGGCATCGCAGGCCTGCAGGATGGGCCTGAGTTCCCACCTGCCTGCGGCTCTGGGGCTGGTGAGCTGTCCGGGCAAGTGGGGTTCAAATCTGCCAAGTTCCTGAGGTTTCAAAGGCATCTCCCTTCAGTCTGCACATCAGCACCTCCTGAGCACCTGGAGAAGACGGGGCTTGCAGAACACCTGATGGCTGGAGGGCACGTTGGCCAGGAGCCAGAGTCTCCTCATTGAGGAAGTGCTGGGTTGGGCTCAGGGGATCCTTCCAGGCCTGACTTCTACCAAGGGCCCACGGGCTGGGACTAACAGAGGTGCCACTCCCCCAACTCGCCTTGCGCTTTTCAGACCCCTTTGTAGATTCCAGCCCCGTGCAGCCAGCGAGCCAGGGACAGGAGCCTGGGAAGCAAAGCCGAAGTGCAGGATCATCTGCCCCCCGCACAGTCCCAGAACAGACACTTGGAAGGTTTAGAGGCAACCAGGCCCTTTTTGGTGGTTGATCTCAAGGCCTCGTGGCCCTGGGAGCCAAGCCCAAGCACTGCCAATCCCAAGTCCTGCCAGGGTCTGGGAGCAATGGCACGTGAACCTGCAGCAGGTACAGGGCCACCAGGACACAAACTTGAGAAAGTGCTGATAAACAGTGCAAGGTGCACTCCCTCAGGTCACTCGGGCCCCTGCTTTCCTCCCACGGTTCTGTGTCACAGCATCAGGACTGCAATGGAATCTGCCCTAACACCTTCAAATACTTTTTATGTCTGAATGAGGAGACTCAGAGAAGTTAAGAAACTTGTCCAAGGTCACGCAGCTACTATGTAGTGGAGCGTGGATTCAAATGCAGGTGTTCTGGCTCCAGAAACAGGCCCGTCCAGGAAAGACTGATAAACTGGTCAATTACAATCATTATTTCATGGCCAGAAGATCTACGGTAGTCCAGAAGATCTAACGTTCCCCAGTGATAGCAACGTGCTGTCACCTGTGCTCTCTGAGAGGGTGGCCATAGGTAGGTGACTGTGATACCTTTAAAATATGGATCGTACTGCCAAGAAACTGAATTGCTAATATTAGTTAATTTTAATTAATTTAAATTAAATTTAAATAGCCACGTGTTTAGCGGCTATTATATCAGCACAGATAGAGACCTGGGGTCCAGGGGATGGGGGAGCTGGGGCTCCTGAGCCCGCCTTGGGGGTGGGGCTTCCAGGGAGGCTTCGCTGGAGGAAGACCCTCAAGGTTGCAAGGGGCTTGGCCACTAGGAGGCGCTGCAGCAGCCTGGAGCATCCCAAAGGCTGAGACCACCAGGGACAGGAGAGGCTGGAGGAGCCAGTAGGAGCACCTGGGGGAGAGGAGGGCTCTGGGGGGAAGGGGAGCTGCCCACTACAATGAGGGTTAGTGCTGGGACTTTGCTTCAGGAACATGGGAGCTACGATGGTGACCGAGCAGGGGCCCTACGGGCTCCAACTGAGCTCTGGAGGTCGGATGGGAGACAATGATGTTCGAGGGGCTGAGGTGACCCTGCCCCAGCTCTTGCAGGGGTGGAGAGCTGATCTCCTCTGGATGGAACGTTCTGGAAGGAGACACCAGAGGTCTGAGAATCTGTGCCGTGTGGCAGGGGGGCATGGAAGGAGTCAGGGACACTGCCCTCAGGACACTAGGTGGTGGGGGGAGATGACCCACCATGGGGATTTCAGATCCAGGCCTTCCTCGTCCTCAGCCCTGGGGACCATCTGTGGGGGCTTGGGAGAGCTTTGCCCAGGCTCCTTCACCCGCTGACCCTGGAGGCCTGAGGATCACTCCAGCCACTCCTGAGCACCTCCTGGTGCCAGACGCCAAGCCTGTCCAGAGAGGGTCTCCTGGAAGGCCCTAGCAGCCCTGTGCTTCCACAGAGAGACTGAGCTCAGGTGTGTGGCCACGTGGCTGCCCACAGGGACAGTGCTGACCCAGGCCCCGCCCCCTCCCCACCCCAAGCCGAGAGCTGTCCCTGAGCCATTACTCCTGGGCACATCCCCAGGGTCAGCACAGGCCCAGCATCTAGGTTGCAGCCATCTGCAAACGGGCTGGGACAGTGGTGTGGGTCCACGGGGACAGCCCAAGCCCCTGAGTCCACGTGGACTGAGTTAGGGAGTGGCCAGCCCCACCTTGTCCCTGAGACAATAGGAAACTGGGAGCTGCTCAGATGACCGCTCTGTCCCTGGGTGCCAGGGGTAATCTGCCAAGGGTACTGGGCCTCCGAGCACGACACCTTTGAAGCAAAAAAGTGAGAGATGCCCCAGCTGGGGCCTGGCTCCCTCCTGGTGTGCCAGCAGCAGGTTCTGCCCGCAGCCAGGGACCTGGAGGGGACAGGATGGCTTGCTCAGGAGAAGCCAAAGCCTTGAAAGTGGCCAGCGATCTCCCCGGGGCAGCTGCAGAGGTGCGCTGATGTAGCCCCTGGGACGTTCCTCATGCTACCCATCCTGAGTGGGAAACTGAGAATCGCCACACCCAGGGGCCTTCTTTGTAACTTGTTTGCCACTCAGAGAGGGAGGTGGTGGCTCTCTGGTCACACAGCACAGCTCTTCCCCAGATGCTTCCCCAATGTCCCTGCTCAGCTGAGGAGATTTCCAAAGCAGCCAGGAGGAGGCGGGTTCCCCATGCTTGGGAGGAGCACAGACCGCTAAGGAACAACCAGCTCTCCAATACTGAGCACCTACTGTGTGCCTGGGAGGCTCCAAGTGGGGTACAAGGATGATAAGGCAGCTGGATCCCAAGGGGTGCACCCAGTGAGATGTAGACTCTTGGAGCCTGTGTCCGTGCTGTGACACCCCCGGGCCCCCAGTACCTGATACATAGTAGGTTCCCCATAAAGATTCGTTGAATGAATAGCTGAAGTATCAAATTCGACCTGGTACAGATGAGCCACCCAGGGTCGGCAGCAAGACGCTCAGGGGAGGAGGAGGACGGAGGGGGTTGGAGGTCACTGTGAGCCGCAGTGGCTTCGGGTGGGCATGATGGACAGGAAGGGGATCGGCACACGCAGAGCCGCAGAGGCGGGGGGAATACGTGGGGCTTGTACGCATCGCATGCGCAGTAGGTCAGGGGAAGTGGGACGGGGTCTGTGGGGAACAGGGTGGGTGATGAGATGGACGGGTCAGGGGCTGTCTCACAGGGGCCGTGGGTTCTTACAGGAGGGCAGTAGGGAGCCCTGGGGGGTTTTTGAGCGGGAGATGGACGGTCTGCAGCACACCCCCACCCCCATGCCTCCTGAGCCCGGGCGGAGCGGGGTCTGACGGTCTCCCTGGGGTGGGGGGTGAGGGCTGCTCTCATGAAACGTCACTCAGAGCTCGGGCTGAGGCCTTCTGGATGGTCCCTGTGCTAGGGCCCATCCAAGGGCCTAGGCTTCTGGGTTCTTGGGGGCCCAGCTTCTCCCCCACCCGGTGAGGCGGGGCTTCGGCCGCAGCTGCTCCTGTGGTTTCCACGCAGGGAAAGAAGGGGCTCCTCGTTGTCCAGGAGGAAGAGCTGGAGACGCTGGCGGTCCAGTCGCCAGTGGGCACTTACAGGCTGCCCGCTGTGTGCCAGGCACTGGGCTGTGCCTGTGGCCACCTCCGGGGTGACCAGCACCCTTGCTCCCTGCAGGAGCTCCTGCCCTGAGGACCCAGCCCAGGGCAGTGAGGGAGGCAACCAGGGAGGGCAGACGAGGGGTCCGTGCTCCCGGGCAGGTGGCTGTGGTTGGGACTCGGTCCAGCTGACTGCCTGGGGTTGAGCCCTGCTTTGCTGCCTGCTGGCAAATGGATCGGGCCGTTGCCCTTCCCTCGAAGCCCCTGCCTTCTCATCTGTCCAGTGGGGGCTGAGGAGACCCTGTGGTAGGATCGCCAAGGACTGCTGTTCCGTGAGGTGATGTCAATCAGTAGCATACCCCGTTGTCTGAGTTCCCTGCCCCCAAGGAAGCAGGGGCTGGGCTGCCCTTGGCAGAGGAGAGGCCTCGGAGCCCTGCGGATGGAGGGAGGCTGGCCAGGCCACACTGAGCAGGCACGGAGGAGGGCCAAGGCGCCCAGCAGGACCCTGCGCCCCAGTGCTGGTGACCGCTTCCTCCAGCTCGCCTGTGTGCCCACGGGAATCCCTGTGTCTGTGACCTCTTGGGAAAGCCAGGCCTCTTGGTCACTGAGTGTCCAGCCCAGACATCTGCACCCACCTCTGAGGGCAGCAGGGGGCTGGGGGCATGTGTCGTGACCTGGGCCAGCCAGGGTGGGGTTCCTGGCACTTTCTCTGATGGCCATCTCCCGTCTCTCTCGTCCCCACAGGACCACCTGAAGCAGTGTTTCTCCAGGCGACCCCCTGAGGCCAAGGACACAGACACCCTGGTGCACGAAGCCGACGGCCAGTATGGGACATGGGCAGACCAGCGCCAGAGTGGGGACAGGTAAGATCTGCAGTAGGACCGGCCACCAGCAGGGCATCTGGTTGCAGTGGATGCAGCCAGCCCAGCAATTTCTGCAGCCCAGGACCTGTTTGTTATCGTAAGAGGAAGCCATTCACATCAAAAAGAATCTTTACAAAGAAAAACAAATGGTCAAATCTGGAGGATCTCCAATAGGCCAATCCAGAGACAGGGAGCAGCTGAGGGCAGTGGGAGGAGGAGCCTGCTGCACGTGGGCTGGGACTCCTCTGGGTGGCAGATACTTGGTGATGGTCCCAGGACTCTGTGGACGTGGTCAGTGTCGCTCATGGTAACATTTAGGTATTTTGCCACTATAGACAATTTCAAAGAAAACAAAAACCACCTATAATCCTAGCACAGATCTACCTTCATTCATGTTTTTCTGGTCTTTCTAGATTTCTTTCAGTGTGGGGAGGTGTTTACAAATGCAGTGGCGTGTGTCCTCCATGTTGCTTAATCAGCTGTGTCTGCTTAGAATCTCCGTTCTTGACCCGTGTGCGGCGGTGCATGCCTGTGATCCCAGCAGCTCGGGAGGCTGAGGCAGGAGGATCACGAGTTCATAGTCAGCCTCAGCAACTTAGCAAGGCCCTGAGTAACTGTCTGAAAATAAAAAATAAAAAGGGCTGGAGATGTGGCTCAGTGGTTAAGTGCCCTGGGTTCAATCCTCAGTACCAAAAAAAAAAAAAAAAAAAAAAAGAAAAATCTCCACCATTCATGGCCAGTGGGCCTCAGTGGTCAGCCTGGCTCGGAGGAATATTCTGGCTACTGCAAAAGCCTGAGGGCTCTCAAGCATAACCAGATTAGGAGGCAGGCAGCTGTGAATCCAGCCCCACCCTGACTGGGTACAGGACCCGGGTAGATTCCTTGTTTTCCCAATCACATGTTCCTCTTCCGTGAAAGGAAGTGATGCCCAAGAACTGGACACGCCTGAGGAGTGGGTGGGCCACACACGTGGTGAGCACTTCCCATGTTGATTAAATGTGTTAGCATTTAATTCCGTCATTCCGTGTTCTAGAAGAGAAACAGGCACCTCAGCACATGGACTGGTAACCTGTGTGGAGATTAGGTCCTGGCACATAGTAGGAGCTTTTGTGCCTGTTCTTGTTTCAGAAATACATTTCTTCCTTCATATGTTGGATGGGGTCGAGACAGTAATGGCTTCATGGCCACTCTGTGGATCTGCTGTGCCTTTAGCAGCCCACCCAGCAATTTCTGCCACAGGCCGACCTGGCAGATAGAGCCCTGGTCAACCCTGGCTGGGCTACTTCCCGCCCTCTCCTGTGTGACTGTTTCCACGTCTGTGGCCCTCATGCCCAGCCTAGGAAGCCGAGGCTCACAGGCAGCCCAGGGCCTGCCCAGGGTCACCATGTGTGTGTGGCTGAGGTGGACTCGAACCCAAGTCTCCTATGGGCCCTCTCACTGTCAGGAGTGACCATCCCCCTCTACTGGGTCACATCCCACGACAGGTGCTGATTTGAAGTTGGATTGAGGTTGATAGAATTGAAAATGGGTAAGAAAAAGGGGAGCAAGACAGTCCTGCAAATCTTTTTCTCTCCTAACCTGTGAAATTTAAAATAGGGTTTAGTTAGCTTCAGTTTCCTTAGAATGCCCTGCAAGGACGCTGGGTTATCGGGAGACCTAGACTGTGGTTTTGCTCATCTCCTAAGTGACCCCCGGAGCCCCTTCCCCTCTCCAGGCCTCAGATCCCCAGCGCATAGACCAGGACCTGAGATCAGCCTGTCCCACCGGGCGCTGCTGGTGGTGCACGCCCCCTGCTGTCTCCCAGAGGTACTGCAGCACCCCAGAAGCTCCAGCCTTGGGCAGTGGCGCCATCTGCTGCCTGCTCGTTGATATTTCCCTCCTCTTGTGTGGGTTTGCTGGGTCCCACCCACATCCTCACACCTCGGTGCTGTCCGCCTTCCAACCTTCCAAGTAAGGGAAGCATCCCAGAGCCAACAAAAGCACCCTGAGATGCGGAACACCAGGGTCGAAAGTTCTGCTCGCAGGTGCAGCTTGCAGGTCCTTCAGCTTAAGTCAGGTGGGCACCCCCTTCCTCAAGGGGAGGGCTCCCCAGGCCCTGCAGCTCGGCTGCCTTCCCCACATGGGTGTGTTCTGTGGAGTGCGGGGGATTTAATTGCTTGATTTCTATATCAATTTTCTATCCTGTGTGGTTCCAGTTTTCCGGATGATACGTGAATATAATCATGGGAAGGGATTTGAGTGGTAGGAGAGGCTCATGAGGGAGGATCCTGGAGTGCAGCTGCCTTGGTCATCCCAGCTCTGCCCCTTTGGGGAAGCAATGTTGCATCTCTGTGTCGGGTTTCCCAGTCTTTAATATTTAATTTCATGAGGTTACTGCCACCTCACAGTGTGGTGGGCATCAAAGGATTTTAAATAACCCTCATAGGAGAGAAGAGGATTGAATGGCACTGTGTTTAGCCTAGTGCTTGGAACATAGTAGGTGCTCAGTAAATCACTGCATGAGTGAGCGGGTGGGATCTGTTCTCCCGACTTCCTTGGGTACCTGCTGGTGGCCACTGATCAGCATCAGAGACCCCCCCACACACACACACAGATACACAGACATCATGTCATTTAAGATGTCCCGGTGGGTGCAGGAAAGGAGTACAAAGAAACAAGAAATATAAGCTAACTGTAAAGCTCACAAAATTCAACCCAAAGTTGATTTGAACAGTGTATTTGATGGAACCCAACCCATCTGACATGCTCCCGTCTCTAGGGAGACATCGCACGGTCTTTTGTGCAAAGTGTTGGACGGCCCCTGCGCACCTCGCGCTCGCGGCTATCCTGGCTCTCGCTGGCCACATCGCAAGGCCCCGTCGCCACCTGGGACCACACAGGGCTGGAGAGTCTTGGATGGCGTGGGGCCGACTGTCCCTGCCCTGCCCCGGCCCCGTGTGCCCGGGGCACCACAAGCCGCACCCGGCTGGCAGGTCCTGCGTTTCCAGGAGGCGCTGCCCCGCGAGGTCCCTGCCGCTGCTCCCCGGTGCCCACAGCACCCCACCCAGCGGCTCTTCTGCCACCACCTTTCCTTGAGGCTCTGGTCTCTGAAGCGCCCTCCGTGACCCGTCTGCCCTCCCTCCCTGTGTCCCAGCTTGGCCCCCGAGTCCCCGTCTCCGGACAGCAGCACCCCATCAGCACGGAGACAGCCCCTCAGTGGCCGCTTGTCCTCTCTGTCCTCGCAAACGGAGCCCGCCTCGGCCGCCGACCAGCGGAGCACCAGCGTGGACCGCTCCAGCTCCGAGCTGGAGTCCACAGACGGGGCGGACGGGCTGCCCCCACAGGAGCCCTGCGCAGCCGGCAGAGCGGACGACTTCTCCTTCATCGACGTAAGTCCTGGCCAGAAGCATGGCCGGGTGCCATGGGTCTTTTCCCTTTAAAGGGAGGTGCCAGCATCTCCTGGTGACTCCCCTTCAGGGGTGGGCAAGGTCATGCCAGGGCCCCTGCGCTGGGTGCAGAGGGCACAGGGTGAGACCAGACCCACTTGGACCACCGTACACCAGCTGTGGGTCTCTGGGCAAATGTCTTCACCTCTCTGAGCCTCAGCTTCCTTATCTCTTTGTAACCTGCACAGTGGGTACACGGCCTTACACACAGTCACGTGTTCAGTTAAAAGTGATCTAAGCCCTCACCCACCAGGAAGGCAGAGGGCCACCTCCCCGCCCCCAGGGAACTCTCCCAGGGTTTACAGTTCCAAGCACGAAGAGCCCAGGGTTTGCTCAGAATGATTGTGCCCAAGTCCCCCCCCCCCCTGTCTTTCACAGAACAGTGTCCCTGGTGCCAGGGCGGTGGGTCTCTGCAGCAGCCATCCCAAGAACCAAAGCCCCTCAGGCAGGCATCCCTTGGATTCAGCTCCTTCTGGGTACAGGGCTCTGTGGCAGCTTACAGGCCTGTGTGATGTCCCCAGGAGGCTGTGTGCCTAGTGTGTGCAGGCACGGTGCTGGGTCTCAGGCCCACTGCTTCATTGATTTTTTTTTTTTTTTTGGTACCAGGGATTGAACTCAGGGCCCTTGACCACTGAGCCCCATCCCAGCCCTATTCTGTGTTTTATTTAGAGACAGGGTCTCACTGAGATGCTTAGGGCCTTACTTTGGCTGAGGCTGGCTTTGAACTCGAGATCCTCCTGCCTCAGCCTCCCAAGCCACTAGGATGACAGGTGCGAGCCACCATGCTCATCTCCATCGATTCTTGTAATTGGCCTAGTGGTTCGTGTGGAAGGGTTTAGGTGAAGGGCATTTGGGTTACCATCGACAGGATAGCCCACGCGATAACGAACTAGTGCCTCAGGGATCAGGAACCTATAGACATCCTGCTGTGGACGCTCTCCTCAACTCACGGATCCTTTGCCTTTTTTCTTCCTCCTTGCCACCCCCAAAGCAAACCTCAGTCCTCGACTCCAGTGCCCTCAAGACCCGGGTGCAGCTCAGCAAAAGAAGTCGCCGCCGGGCTCCTATCTCCCACTCTCTCCGGCGTAGTCAATTCAGCAAGTCAGAGAGCCAGTCTCCTTTGGAGGAAGAGATTGATAGCATGTGGATGTTCAAGGACTCAACAGGTAGGCCAGTGCCTCTGTCCTACCTGGTTACCACATCAAACAGCAGGAAGGACCTAGGTTAACCTCGGGAGAACTTCCTGGTTTTGGAGGCATGTGAACATTAGAACACAATTAAATAGAAAACTGATTTCTTGTTCAGAAGAGCTTATTGGAAACTAGGCAAAAAATGATCTGAGGGATAATATAATAATTGAGGCCCTTTGAGTTTCACAACTTAATAGGGGTTTACTCTGTATGCTTTTATCCTTATTAAGGTATAAATTCACACTTACACCTTCTTTATGTTTGTTTGCTGGTCTTTTCCTAAATGCTTGGGTTAAAAGATCATTTATTTTCAGTCTTTCCTAATGAATCACTTTAAGGCTATACATTTTCCTCAAAGGACTGCTTTGGCTGCATTCTGTATCAAAATCTGAGCTCTCAAAGAACAGAGAAGAATGATCTAGGTAAAGGTATTCCAGGCAGCAGTGTCCTTGAGATCTAAGGGACACACGTGTGCAAAGCACGTTCTGTGTTTCTGGGGACTCGCTAAGCAGTTTGGTGTCCCTCAAGCTGGGAGCGATGGGAATGAGGCTGGAGAGGTTGGCAGGGGCCAGGCCTGGAGACCCTTGACGATGTGCTGAGGAAGTAGAGCCCATCTGTAGGTGGAGAGCCACTAGAGATTTTAAGAAAAGCAAAGTTTCTTCAGGTCACGGGAATCAGGGCAGCTGGCCTGTGTGGACAGGAGGATGTCGGACCAGGTCCTGAGCCAGGGGAAGCACGTGGCTCCTGCAGATAGCCACCTGTCACCCAGGCTTGGAAGATCCACGTCCCCCTCTCCCATCAGTTTCTGTTGCTAAGGACACGTTCAAGTGCCTTGAGGGAAGGGGACTCCTCCCCGCACACGTCCTTGGTTTCTGAGGTGAGCTCTGCTAAGTCACCTGGAGCAGGTGGAGCCAGACCAGGGACAGAAGCACACAGATAGCTCCAGCTTCGAGGAGCTGGCCCAGGGCAGGGCACTTAACGGACACGTCGCAGCCCCTGCCTAGTCTGGGGGCTCCAGAGTCCAGCGCTCCCTAGTTCACCTTCCACACCTACCGTGCCCACACCTGTGTCCAGGCTCCCCGCACCCTGCCTGCTGTCCCCGAGGGCTGGGGACAGGTAGCCCCTCCCCTGGAGGCTCTGGCTGGGGTAGCTCTTCTGTTCTCTAGGGGCACAGCTCCAGGGAAGAGGCTCAGGGTGTGTCCACGTCCTTTCCTGGCTCTGCCACCGTGTCCTTCTTGTTCCCTGCCATGGCATGAGCCAGGAGGGGGTCTCTCTGCCCACCCCAGGAGAAAGCTGGCTTTCCTGTCACCCACATCTCCTGGCAAGAGCCGGAGTCGTGCAGAGAAAGGCATGAGCCTGGGTTGTTCTTTAGCACAGCCCGCAGTGCCCTCCTAGCAGGGTAGAGGTGCCAGTCCTGGCCCATAGGACTTGGGCAGATGCCGGGCCATGACTTCAGTGCCCTTTTCTTTGCCACAGAAGAGAAGTCGCCCCGGAGGGAAGAGTCAGATGAGGAGGAGAAGCCTCCTAGGGTGGAAAGAGCTCCCGCCAGCCTCCCTCAGAGGATGCCCGTGTTCCCGGGCATGGACCCGGCCGTGCTGAAGGTAGGGACCCCAGGACTGCCCGGTGCCCCTCCTCCTCACAGCGTCCCTCCCTCCCTCCTCTCTCCCTCCCCCTCCCTCCCGGCTCTCACCCTCCCCCTCCCTCCCGGCTCCCTTCCTCCTCCCCCCTCCCTGCTTCTTTCTTTTTGAAATAGTTTAAGGCCCAAGGGAAGTTCCAGAAGCAGCTGGACCTTCCAGTCAGCTTTGTCCCCTGCTGCTGTCCCACGGGAGCACAGAACATTGTCATAACCAGGAAAATGGCCTCGGCACCTGCCACCGGCCGTGCTGTTGAGCCCTGTGGATTTGGCCCGTGGCCCTGAGTCCCTGATTTACACTTGTGGCCTCTCTTTGGCCCCCAGACCTGCTGCCGTCTGGCCCACAGCTGGGCCTCAGGGTCCTCACCTATGAAGGGGGCTGGCCATCCATTTTGGCCATTAGGGCCAGCGCTGGGGAAGCCAAGTGAGCCCACCTGACCCCTCGCATCCTGGGGATGGAAGGTGCCGGACGCGCTGAGTTCCGCGCTGGCTGGCAGGAGGGCTGCCCTGGCAGCGCGTGACGCTCTCTTAAACTTCCAGAATCCCAGCTGGATTATGGGGTCCCGGGGGAGGTGCTGGACAGCCTCCTCCCTCCCGGCTCGGCCAGGGCTGCCCCGCGGCCTCCGTGGAGGGGTACTTACTGCGGGTGAGGGAGGGCCCTCTGCGCTCCTGGCTCTGGGCAGCTCTTCACGCGCTCCCTCCACGTGCCGCAGTCCCACGGGAGTCTCCGCACGACCCTTTGTTGAAGGCAGAAAAGCCCAGATTCCTCGGGGAACATCAACTCCGGATATTCCGCAGGCCACAAAAACCACCTAGCAGAGGCCACGGGCCTGTTCCTCCTTTGGTAGACAGAAGCTTTGCGTTCTGTGTTCTTTTTAGCAAGAATCAAAAGTCACTAGACACTGTTTGGAGCTTGCCCCTTCATGGGTCTCACAGGTCCTCCAAATAGGAACATCTCTTGAGCCACTATCCAGGGCCAGAGGTTATCTGACTCAATAAAGTAAAAAAAAAATTGTAATAAATTCAAAAACTTAAAAGTCAAAAAATATTTCCTAAGGCTTATAATCCTAGCAGCTGGGGAGGCTGAGGCAGGAGGATTGCAGGTTTGAGGCCAGCCTTAGCAATTTAGTGAGGCTCTAATCAACTCAGTGAGACCCTGTCTCTAAGTAAAAAAGTGAGAAAGGATTGGGGACAGGGCTCAGGGGTTAAGCACCCCTGGGTTCAATCCCCAGTACCAAAAAATAGGGGAAAAAAAGAAGTTTCCTTAGCATTGGAACAAACGATCCTGGAAGGGGCCTAGCAGAAGCAGAGGGGGGGTCCTGGTTGAGGAAGGGCAGGGCTGGGGCAATGTCCCGAGTCGCCCCTGGGGCAGACCCTGGATCCTCAAGCGCATCTGGAATCCCCTGCGCTAGGTGAAAAGAGGCTGTGCGTCGGCTCCTGGAGAGGAGGCTGTGGGGCTGGTTCACCAGGGGCGGTCAGTGGGTGGTGGTGGCAGTGACCATTGCTGGGACCCACCCAGCACTGCCTGGAACCAGGAGCTGAAGGGACCTTCACTGCCACCGTGGGGTGGAGCTGCCGTCCCCTGGGAGGTGGGGAGGTGGGAGGTAGGAGAATGTGACTGTGGGTTTGGGTGGCCACTTGACCTCGAAGGCCAAGGCCACCAGCTAGAATGCCACCTGGCCTCTGGCTTTCCCCAGCCCTATTTCCTGCCTGGTTCTTCAGCCTCAGGGCCCACTACTTCTGGGGGTCACCATGCTTGCCCGGGTCACCGGAGAGTCCCCTGTGCAGGACGAAGGTGGTTACAGACCCGGCTCTTCTCTCCCCAGGCCCAGCTGCCCAGGAGGCCAGGGGTGGACAGTTCTGGAGAGACCCCTGGCTGGAGCCCCCAACCCAAAGCCCCCAAGTCCCCCTTCCAGCCTGGGGTGCTGGGAAGTCGCGTGCTGCCCTCCAGCATGGACAAGGACGAGAGGTGAGGCCCGGGGACCAGGGTCTCGCCTCCCGATCTCTCCAGCATGGCAGCCGGAGCCCGCTGCAGAGGAGGGAAGGAGGCCGGTCAGCTGAGGCCCACTGTCCTCCTCCCGCTGCCTCCTGCCCCAAACCAGCCCCTGTCGCTGGGGAACTGCTGATGGGTGCAGCCTTCTCCAGACGACGGGGAAACAGAGGCCACCTCCCTCCTGTCACCCTCCTGGGGGTGCCTTTGTCTCTGGAGGTGGGGGGCCGGGGAGGATGGTCCCAAGGGCGCAGCCAGACAAGACCAACTGCCGGGTCCCCTTCCTGGCCAGGCCTCCCCGTGCAGGGAGGAGCCCAGGACACCCCTGCGTCCCGCAGTGCTCAGACCAGGCCAGCAGCTGATCTTGGAGGTTAAGGGCACAGGCTCCAAGGTCAGCAGCCAAGGTCAAGCGACTCCTCAGTAGCGCTACTGATGAACCTGGGGAAAGTTACTTGGCCACTCTGAGCCTCGGCTTCCTCGTCTGTGAAGTGGGTTTGCTGATTCAAACCTCTCGGCTGGTCACGAGGATGAAACAAATGTATACAGGGCCCTTTGCCGGCGGCTGGCATGAGAAGTCCCCTGGGAGAGTGGACCTCTCACGAGGACTGTTAGCATATGAAGCTCAGACTCATTCGTGAGCCCAGGGCTGCGACCTAGTCGGTGAGGTGACAGAGCACACAGTGGCAAATGACAACTCTCAGGCCCGATCTGGCCCGCTGTCTGTGTTTGTCAATAAAGCTTTATTGGCACACAGACACGCCCATTCACTAGGTGCCATGGCACCCACTGCAGGAAGGGTTCCCCTTCGACCCTGTGGAGAGGAGGGATTCATTACGCAAAGTGCAGGAGGAAGGGCGTCCTGAAGGACAAACCCATCTCGCTAGGGGAGGGAGCAGTGACCTGATCCCAGGCTGTGCCAACATGGAAAGGCCTGCGGTGCTATCCTGGCATAGCCCAGGGTGCCACGGGAAGCAGAAGGACCAGCTTACGGGGGGAGGGGTGCGGCCAGATGTGCCTCCTGCCCTGGGTGCAGCCTGCAGCTCGGCGTTCAGGCCCCCGGGGCAGGGTCTGCAGGCCCACAGGAGGCCTGGGCTAAAGTCCAGGGTGCCCCAGACCCAGCAGGCCAGCAGGCTGGAGACCCAGGGGGAGCCGGAGTTCAAGTCCAAAGGCAGTGTACTGGCAGAATTCCCCCTTCTTCCTGGGAGATGAGTCTTTTCCTATGAGGGCCTTTGACTGACTGGGTGAGGCCCACCCATAGTAGGGAGGGTGATCTGCTTTACTGAGTATGTTGTTGTAAACGTCAATCTCAGACTGGGGTATAATTCAGTGGCAGCACACTTGTGTACCATGCAAAAGGCCCTGAGTTCAATCCCTAAAACTGCTATACTACTACTACTACTAATTATAATAATAATCTCAAAAATATCTTCACAGTCAGGCTCAGTGGCGCACACCTGTAATCTCAGTGGCTCAGGAGGCTGAGGCAGGAGGATTGCAAGTTTGAGGCCAGCTTCAGCAACTAAGCGAGGCCCTAAGCAACTTAGCGAGACCCTGTCTCAAAATAAAATTAGAAAGGGCTGGGGATGTGGCTTAGTGCTTAAGTGTCCCTGGGTTCAATTCAATGATACCAAAAGAAAAAGAAAAAAATACCTTCACAGAAACATCTAGAAAAATATCTGACTAAATATCCGGTGCCGTTGTAGCCAAGGTGACACCTAAAGTATCCCAGGTGTTACACAGAGAGCTGGAGGGTGACGTGTGTCTGGGTGATGGGTGGAAAGGTTTTACATAAGGTGGCCTTTCACGGCCGCACGTTATTCTACAGCGGGCCCCGGGGTTCACCCAGCACCCACTGTGGCTTTGGTTGGTTTCTAGCGCTTGCTCATCAGCGGTGTTAACACGGGCATCCTACCACCCATGGGTGCCCGGCTCAGCACCCGCCTCGGCATGGCAGGTGGGGGAGGGTACCCCTGGTGCTGCCTGTGAGAGCCACTGGCCTGGGTCCCCTTGACACTTACTGTGGTTTCAGGTCAGAGGAGCCCTCTCCCCAGTGGCTGAAGGACCTGAAGTCCAAGAAGAGGCGGAGCCTGTATGAGAACCAAGCTTGACCGGGTAGGAGGGGCCTGCTGGGGAGACCCAGGAAGAGGGAGGCCCAGGTGGGAGGCCAGGAGGAGAGGAGGCTGTAAGGAGGTTGGTGACAATCTGCCCCCGCAGGGAGAAAACAAAGCTGGGAGCCTGGGGTGGCTGGAGAGGCCACAGGGCCAGCGTCCGATGCCAGGGGCCTCACGTGCTGGGCCAGCCCCTCCTATCCATCTCAGGCCCCCTTGTAGGGAAAAGTTGGACATGGAAGGACTAATTAATTAGTTAGATTAATCTGAAATATTGCAAATTTTACAAATGGAACATGTCTGTGGCCCAACTGTGTCATGAAGATTTGATCTGAAAAATAGTCGTTCCTTGGTGTCTCCTGGGGATTGGCTCCAGGACCCCCTCCCATATACCCGAATCTGGGGAAGCTCAAGCTATAACATGGCGCAACCTTTGCACGAATCCCACTCTCCCACGTTCTTGAAATCACACCAGGTGACTTAGAATCAGTGCAGATGCTGTGTGGTCACCACGCTGTACTGCTCAGGGAATAAGGACAAGGAAAAACCTGCAGGGGTGCCGCGCACTCTCTTCTTTCCACATATTCCCAGTCGGGGGCTGTGAGTCCACCGATGTGGACCTGCAGCCAGCAGGGGGCCGACTGGGTTCAGAGAAAACGTCCAGTGATCAGATCTGCCCTGCTGTTGCTGCCCAAGGGCCCAACACAGTGACCGTCAGCTTCCCCATCTGCAAAATGGAGAGTAGTGCCCATGTCACTGAGGACCCCTGGGCCCACGGAGGGCCCACCCCAGGCGTTCCGGTGCTGTCTCTGTGGCCTCGGTCTACGTAGGGCCCAGGGTGCTCGCGTCAGCTGTGATGCATCGGCAGAGGGACCCACGTCCTGAACCGCACTAGCGCTGGTGGCCAGGCCCTCTCAAATGCCTTCCGGGCAAAGCTGGCCCTGAGCGGACGCTGTGCTGCCCGATTCCACCCGCCCCACTTCATTTTTTATGGGGGTGCTGCACGTTAGGCACGTGCTCAGCCACTGAGCTGGGACCCCAGCCCTGACTGACCCACCTTAGTGAGTTCTGTGGCATGTTAGATGCTTGATTGGGGTGTTGCAGGGTACGTATGCATGTATGTGAGATGTGACTTAATGTTTATGTATATGGACACACAGGTATGTGTATAGGCTAAGCCCAAGAAGACCCATAAATCCCCGAATCTGTGCCTAAGGGACTGGCTCGGAGATGAGGGCCTACGTGGACTTTGTGTTAGTGGGGTACCTGTACCAGCCCACGGAAGCCTTGAGAAATCCACTTTTTTTTTCTTCTTTTTTTGGTATTGGGGATTGAACTCAGGGGCACTCAAATACTGACCCCAGCCCTTATTTGTATTTTATTTGGAGACAGGGTCTCACTGAGTTGCTTAGGGCCTCACTGTTGCTGAGGCTGGCTTTGATCTCTCCATCCTCCTGCCTCAGCCTCCCCAGCCTCTGGGATGAAGGTGGGGGCCACTGTGCCTGGCCAGGGGAAATCCATTTTTCAAAGACTTTGTTTTTCATTGGCATGAAATACTTGTACATATTTGTGGAGTGCATTGTGGTGTTTCAGGGCCTGTATTCCTGCCGTGGTCACACCGGGCCACTAGCTCATCCGTCACTGCAAACACTCATCGTTCCTCTGTGGGGAGAGCATCCCCCATCCGCTCCTCTAGCTATTTTGAAATATATAATACAGTGTTTTCACCAGCAGTTCATTTGAGGAAATTGAGGCTCAGAAATGGCCCTAAGTGTCATGTTTGTTCTACTGAACCAGACTGTCTGCTCCTCCTCTCTCTGCCCCCAAATAATTTCATGCCGGTCCTGAGGCTTGTGGGGATCACTCTCTTGGGATTATCAGAAAAGGTTATGCATTTATTTTATTGAATTATTTATTTATTTGGGGGGCAGGGGGATACCAGGGGTTGAACTCAGGGGCCCTCGACCACGGAGCCCCATCCCCACCCTATTTTGTATTTTATTTAGAGACAGGGTCTCACTGAGCTGCTTAGGGCCTCGCCGTTGCTGAGGCTGGCTTTGAACTCGAGATCCTCCTGCCTTAGACTCCTGTGCCTCTGGGATGAGGCGAGCATCACTGGGCCTGGCTCATTGACTTATTTGGGGGGTGCTGAGGATCTAGCCCAGGGCCTCGCACCTGCTAAGCACATGTACCACCACTGAGCAGCGTCCCCAGCCCCCCCAAAAGGTTGGAATCCCTGATGACGGAGAGGATCGGGGCCAAATGTTCCCACTACTGATACCAGGACTGTCCCTTCCTCTCCAGGCAGGGGACACCACCACATCCAATTAACAGAAGCCTTAAGTGCCAGACTGTCTGAACCCGCCGCTGAGGCCGAGCCGCCGTTCCTGCACCCCGCTCACGTGCCTGGGCCCCTCCCGAGGCCCGAGACTGCTGTCCAGAGCCCCAGGATCCGGCCCCACTCAGCTCCCTAGACGGCACCGCTGCCTGGGAAGAGGCCCGGACACGCAGAAAGGCCCACGCCGCTGGGTCCTGCCTTTCCCTCAGAAGTTCGCATCTCGACCCTCTCCCGGAGCTGTGGACGCCGGGGCTGGACTGTCACCCTGGGTCCTGGGAAAGCCCTGCATTGGGAAGGCACCTCGCTCCTCCCCAGGCAGGTCTTCTGGGAAGGAGGTTTTCCAGAGAGTTCCAGTGTTTGCTCCCTGACACGGCCTTGGTCTGGGGCACCACCACGAGGCCACAGTTCCTGGTGACTTCTCGACAGGCTCCTTCCCCGGAAGGAGGCCGCATTTGCAGTGTCCAGCCACCTTTCCAGTTCCTTCAAGGGTCTCTGTCCTTCCAGGAGCCATGTGCAGGGTCGACTGCGTCATCGTACGTCATTTTTGTTTGCTTTAGAAGGTGATAAAGCAATAATCCCGCCAATTTTCTTTGAAACTCAATACGTCCACATTTGTAGAGGCCGGGAGGGAGGTCTGACGGCGAGCCATGAAGTACCACCACCTGAGGTTGTCCAAGCTCGGTGAAACGGCCATTGTCACCCTGGTTCCTTTCAGTCTGATCCCTGGGGAGGCGGTGACCTTTGTCTCTGCAGCTGAGACGGCGCTCCCTTGCCCCGAGACATCTGGCCTGCGCTGGGCCTCCTTTCCCCGGCCTGTTTTGAACCCCGCTGGCCTTCTGGGTAGAGGGACCGCCACTGCAAGCTGAGCTCAGGACACACAGGGTCCTGTCCTCTCTGTCCCACCCCATCCCACCCCGCACACAGCTCCACCCGCCCAGGGCCCTTCCTGGTCCAAGTGCTGATCTCACTCCAAGTCCTTCCCTGGAGGGGAGCCCCAGGCGGGGACTCTGGGCAGAAGTGCTGGGTGCTGGTGACACAGGGGGACCCACTTTACCTCTCTTTCTTGCTAGCTATAAGCGAAGCCTGGGGCAGCCACAGCCTCTGGTGGCTCCTGACGCCTTCCCCACCTCTCGCTCTCCCTGGGAGTACTCAGCACCAGCACCTCCTCTTGGGAAACCCAGGCGCCAGCAAGCACCCTGCACCCGTCCTGCCTGGAGTCGTCACCAATCTTGTGCCAACTTTGCCTGGGAGATGTCCTCGGTGACATTCTGGGCTGTGCAGGACTATAGAGGGATGCCAGGGCTGAGTGTCCTGGCGACCCCCACACAGCCCCAGCACCCGCTTCTTGGCTTCCCGAGTAGGGGCCATCTCTGGGTATCCCTTCTCTGCAGATGTGTCAAGACCTGCTTCTCTTGTCTCTCGCTGGTCACGTCTCCACCGGTCCCCCGTCCCCACCTCCTGGTCTTCTCTGCCTTCACCGCCTTGTCTCTCTGTCCGGGGCACAGCAGCCCTCCGTCTCTCCAGGTTAGGACAAACACCTGTGCCCAGGGAGGGCCGGTGGTTCAGTACCATGGACAGTGGCCACAGACCCCAGGGCACCCCACGCCATCCCTGCCCCCTCCCAGCTTCTGCACCTGGGAGCCTCTTGTCCCCGTGTCTGCTGGGTGACACTCTGTATTTCCTTCATCCCTGAGTTAGTAGTCGGTGTCCTCTGCAGCCACCTGGGGACTCACTGCCTGTGGAACACCTTGAATTGGTTTTCTTGAGGGTCTGTCTCGGTTTTCCAGCAGTTTTGATGTGGTGGCTTTCCAAGTCAAGGGACACGTTCTTGAGTGTTTTGACGCTGACGTCTCAGTTTTATCTTTTCTTGTGAGTGAAAGGGCTTCTTGTTCCCTCTCAGGAGCAGGCACAGAGCAGATCTTGATATCCTGATGCGACCACCAGGGGCGCGTAACCACTGAGCCACATCCCCAGCCCTTTTTAAGTTTTTGTTTAGAGAGAGGGCCTCACTAAGTTGCTGAGTCCAGCCTCCAACTTGCGATCCTCCTGCCTCAGCCTCCCAAGCCTCCGGGATTACAGGTGTGCACTACCGTGCCCAGCAGAATCCTCAATTCTTAATATAGTAGCCCACCTGACAGGAAGGAGATTCCTGACACGAGAGATTCCAGACACAAGACTGCCCTGGGGTGGTTCTGTCCAGCCTTTCCCGCCTTGATTGGCAGAAGTCTACTTAATTCCCTGTTGATGAAGAGGTGACACTGACCATGAATCTGGCCAGAACAAGCCTCTGCACCTTTGGCCATGTGCCTCCTCATCTCTTCCAGCACTCCAGGGCTGACAGTCACAGCCACACGGGTTCTCTGGACCCCAGGCTTCTGCTTATGATCAGCGTAATGAAGTGACAGGTGGCTGATGTTCCGGGGATGGCCCCACGGGTTGCCGATTTCTCCTTTGGAAATCTGTCCCCTTTTAAACTACCTTAATATGCCTTAATCCTCCAGGTGGCCCGAGCCCGGCCCCACCCAGCGTCCTCCCCGGCTCTCCCGCTGTGGACCCCACATTCCCGTGCGGCTCGCCCCCTCCGCCCTTTGCACATCAGCTCTTTGACAGCTGGCCTTTTGATAGTCCGTACCTTGTCCTCTAGTTAGACCCCTCCCTCATGGTCCCCACGGCCAGGGCTCGGGAATCAGTGTTGGGAAGACTCTCAGCCCCCGAGAATCAAGTGGGGGTGGACTTGTGGTCCCAGGGAGGTTGGGGGTTGGGAGCGGCGACAGCCTTACGTTTGACAATCAGGGACAGGACAGTCAGATGGTGGCGGTGCCTTCCAGGGGGACGGGCCAGGCGACAGATGCGGATGTTCCTCTGCGTGTCCCCGGGGGCGACGCCGGCCTGCTAAGGACTGGATCAGGAATAGTCGCAGGTCCCAGGCCTGGAGTGCAGGGGCTGAGCGGGGGACTTGGAAGGACCTTCAGGTGATTTTCCTACCGCTGACCACAGCTTCTCCGCGTGCTGTCACGGTGCCACCTCCATCTGTGCGTGGACCCTCCAGAACGCCCCAGGAGCTCGGCAGGACCGCAGAGCTGACACTCCCACCCCCTAGTTTAGATACGTGGGCCGTGGCCAGGTGGACGGTTCCCAAGTGACACTGCGGCAGCCTCTGTGCCTTCGCCACACCGTGTGTTGAAACAGGAACGCAAAAGGCCCAGGGGATCCTGGTTCCCTGGGGCAGGAGGGACAGTGTGCGAGGAGGGGGACACTGGACCTGCGCCACATCCAGAAAGGGTAGAGCAAGGGGCGGGTCTGTGCTGAGAAGCTCCCGGAGTGACCCTCTGGGCAGGCCGGGGCTCTGGAAGCCAGCAGGCCCAGTGAGCTGGCTGTCCCCCTGGGTCCCTTGCTCTCTGTGTCCAGTTGGCTTCTGTGGGAAGGTGGGTGGGAAGCCAGGTCTCTTTTCCAGAAAGTCAACCGGACGCTTTTGGCAAGGAAACGCTTGAAGTGGATGCCTGAGCCTGTCCCCTCGCTGCCCGGGAGCTCCTTAAACCGTCGTGCTCTGACCCGTGCCCCGTCTCCTCCTGCCATGACTCGGACCTGCCCTTCTGTGACAATCACCGGTGGCATCAGGCCGCTGGACATTGATGTCATGGTCTAAAGAAGAATCTGAGCTTTTTAGTGGCCTCATCCGACACGGCCTTACGGATCCTTAAATCCCGGGTTCACACACGTCCTCGACTGCATTAGGGAAGAGACTTTACTTCTGTCATTTCCTAAACCCCGACAATGCCCTGACAGTCCTGCTCTTCCCCGGGCAGGCGATCTTGGCCCTCAGGACACTCCTGGTCGGGGGCAGGAGGGTGGAAATCCATATGCACAGAGTCTCTATTTTCCTAGTCATTCTTGGGGGTCCCTCCCGGGATCTTTGAGTCACCATCGAAGGTGTCAGTTCCGGGGACAGGTGCAGCCTCCTGCCCGCCAGGTTGTCGCAGTGGCCTTATGAACCCCCAGGCTCCGGGCCTTCTGGACAGAGGGCAGGCGAGAGGCACCTGAGCCAGTCCCGGGAACAACCTGTCACCGCGTGGCTGAGAATTCATCTAGAAAGTCCTCTATTTTTCATGTGAAAGCCCCGTGGGGCTCCCTGACCTCACGGCGTCACGTGTCTACAAGTGCTTTCATATTTGTGACTGTACAGAGGCCCTGCCTGTCTCCAGAGCAGCTGGGGACAGTCCACTGCAGTGAGGAGCCTGGGCTGGGCTTGCACAGAGATGCTGCGTTTGGACCATGAACATAGCAAATAAAGCTTGGACCAAGTGGCGTTGCAGAAGGCCCCGTGTCCCCGTGTGAATGAATGGGTCTCCCCGGCGTGCAGCCTGGTCCTCTCTGGCCACGTCGGTCTCTCTTGGCGGGGCAGCAGGAGGGAGCAGCGGGGTCCCGGGAGAGGGTGTCTGTCCGTCACCGGAGCCCACAGGAACGAGGCAGGAGTTGCATTCAGATGACAAGGGCTTGTGTCCCCGCCTCCTGGGGGTGGCACGTCTCTGAGCATCTGTACAGATGGACAATGATGGCAGCAAGAGTGTGCCCCCCAGAGGACATCCGCCAAGACAGGAGGCCTCTCCATTACCACAGGAGGGGAGGCTGTGACCAGGGAGGCCGCTTGCTCATCAGGGGACAGCTCCTCTCCCCATGTCCACCCCTACCAAGAATGATCTGGCTGCAGGTGGCAGAGGGGCCAGGCTGGGGCTCTGGGTTATGGAGGCCTGGAACATGACAGTACCGAGCACCTGGGGGACCGTCCCTCCTCGGCCTTCCCCCCATGTTCCATGGGAGGGCGTGACCACAATCCAAGTGGCAGGGCTAGAGACTGCGTGGCCTTTCAGGACCTCTGCAGTGAGCGTCAGGTGACCACAGCAGGGGTCCCGGGAACGGGGTGAAGGAGCCGCGGCCATGAGGGGTTTGCTCACGGGATCTCCCTGTGGCCGGAGGAGGGAGAAGGGAGCAGGTTCTCCATTTGTGGCCCAGGAGGCTGGCTCTGGGACCGTCACTGCTCATCTAAGGTCACAGGGATCTGCCTGAGTCCAGGGTTCGATGGCCACCCGCAGCCTCTTGCCACCAGCTCCAAGGGATGCCGCAAGGTGACCAGGGCCTTTCCCAGACTTGAGGGGTTTCACCCCAGAGCGACTGCACAGTGAAAGGGACCTTGCTTAACCGTCCACTCCGGGCCCCTACGTCTCGTCCACTCCGTGTCATCGGCAGTGACTTGTTGGGTGATCATGTGTCACAGCCCAGCTCTGCCAGCCCTTGAAAATGGCGCCATCTACTCTCGTCCTAAATAAGTTGACCTTCATTTCCGCCTTTATTTCTATTGAGGCTGAGAGCCAGGCCTACAGCTCAGAACTCCGTTTCTGAACTATAAAGTAGAGAGCATAAGTCCTCCCCTTAAGATAGCCGGGTGAGGGCTCCACACAATGCTTATGAAGCCTTGCACACAGTAGGTCTTCAATAAATGGTAGCTATGATGTGTGCGCCATCTCTATGAAGAAGATACATTTTTTTTTTTTGGTAATAGAGACTGAACCCAGGGGTGCTTCACCACTGAGCCCCATCCCCAAACCTTTTTATTTTTTATTTTGAGACAGGGTCTCACTAAGTTGCTTAGGGCCTTGCTTAGTTGCTGAGGCTGGCCTCACACTTTTGATCCTCCTGCCTCAGCCTCACAGCACATGGAAAAGGGAAGATTCCGGAGTCCGCCCCCCCCCCCCCCGTCAGAACTGAGCTTTCCAAGGGCATCGTACACCCCAGGGGTAAAAGGGGCGATCCCAAGACACCCAAGGAGGGAGCCGGGGCACACCCCGGAGCCCCACGGCCTCTGCCCTGCCCAGCCCTTTCAGACTTCCCACAAAGCCCCCAGGAAGTCATCAGAGGCCACATCTGAGGATGAGGCGCAGGGGCCTCTGTGGGTGGCTATTGGAGTGAGACGGCCCGGACAGAATCGGGTGGACAGGACGCTGCCTCAGCAGGCGGGGATGTGCTGCGCTGTCAGAACGTGCCCATAAATAGGGCGCTCCTGGAGGCAGGCCGAGTCCGCAGCGCGTCCTGGTCCCCGTCCTTCCCGAGGCTACAGCAGCAGGTTCACGGGGGCTGGGCGGGGCCGGGGGGTGGGGGAGAGCAGCCCAGGAGGCCTGGGGACCCTGGTGGCCGCCCCCTGCAGATACTGGGGGTCACCTGAGGGTTGGCACTGAGTGAAAGGACCCCAGACAGCCACCAAACCCACTGGGAGCCAGCGGGGACCTTCCTGATCTGTGGTGTCAGAGGGCGGTGGCCCCTGTCACGTGCCCCGGGGGCAGGGCTCCCAGGACTAGCAGAGCAGGGGAAGGGGACCTTGGGGCCTTCCAAGTCCCACGAGTCCCCAGGAGCTAGACCGAGTCCTGCTTCCAGCTGAGCTGGGCACAGGGACCAGACGGCCCAAGTGTGGCCAGGCCTGCGTCCAGGGCTCACGGGCCACAGGGCTGTGTGTCGGGAGTGGTCTCCCTGGGAACGAGGGTGGGGACAGCGGTGTGTGAGGTGTCCCTGTGGGTGCTGTATGTGCCACCATGTGTGTGCGTGACAGAGAGTGTGAGGAGGTGTCTGCATGCCCATGGGGGGGATGTCACTAGGCAGGGGCCCCGGGAGCTGTGCGTGTGTGTGCGTGGAGAAGCGTCCTGTGAGTGTCCACGTGGGCAGCAATCAGGAGGACCTTCCACGTGACACCTGAAGGTCCCCAGGGTGAGCGTCACTGTCCCTATCTGGGTTTGTCTCTTGAGGAGACAAGTTTGAGATGGAAGTGGTCACCCTCCTCCTGTCACTGGAGTGCAGGTATACAGTAAGTGCTCAGTGAGTGCATGGACAGAGTGACTGGCTGTGTGCAAACTGGCCCAGAGCAGGTGTCTGAGGACCTGGCTCCGAGGACAAAGCTACCTCGGTCCCTTCTGACAGTTGTGGTCCCTGCTCATCCTGGTCACCTGGTCTGGGCCTGGGTGCTGAGCAGGTGCTCACAGACTCACTGGAGGACCAAGAGACCTGGGGACAGACGACCACACTGCCTGGGGCTTGGGGTGGGAGAGACCCCGCAGAGCGACACCCAGACGCCCGCTCTGGCCAGGGTCCTCAGGCAGCGCCTAGAGAGCCCCGAGAACCCCACTTCAGGGTGCCATGGGTGTGGGGAGAAGGCACGGGCTTTGAGGCCAGGCCAAGTTTGTGCCTTGGGAAGGTCCCCTCTGTAAGTGGGGCTCCCAGTCCCCAGGGTAGGTCTGAGCGAGTGCTGATGACTGACCCAGGGAGCCACAAAGCAGCACAGTCCCAGCCCCTCTAATCCCAGCAGGCCACCCCGGGGACCCTGTGACCCATTCTCCTTTGGTCTGAAGCCAGACGCTCCCGAGGAGATGGCGGAACAGCACGGGGCCCCCGAGCAGGCTGCGGCCGGCAAGAGCCACGGAGGCCTGGGCGGTGGCTACAAGGTACTGGGTCAGGAGGGGACCAGGCCGGAGCAGGGCCCTCTCCCCCCGCCCCCCCCCCGCTGTGACATGGCTAGCTGTCCCCTCCAGGTCCTCATCAGCAGGATGGGAGCAGTCACCTCCCCCTGCCTGTCCGTGGAGGGCAGGGACGCAGAGGCGTGGCCTGAGCTGGCTCCCCTCCCCGCTTGGGTCGGGGGTTAGCATTGGGGACTCTGCCCTCCCAGCCATCCCTGGAGGGGCCACTTGAGACAGGGTCCCAGGATGGGTTGAGGGAGGGGCAGGGGCACCTGAAGATGCTCCGGTGACCAGGGGTCAAGTCAGCCAAGAAATCCCCCAGCTCCTCGCCTGACCCCCAGGTGATGTGGGTAAGCCATGCTCTGACCCTCAGCTTCCTCTTGGGGACCATACAGGACTGCTGCTGTCATCTCTCTCTGCCTCCCTTTGTCATCTGCGGGTCTTTTCCTGCCCAAATGTGGGGAGAAGAGAGCCAGCAGCCTTATTGAATCCCAGTGCCTCCTCCCAACTTGCTGTGCAGGCTGAGGAAAATGACTAACCCATTCTGAGATTCTCTCACCCATTCTGTAAAGTGATTGGAACGGATGCTCCCCAGGGGCCACGTACAAAGACTGTGCTTCAAGCTAAATGGGCGCCTTTGAGCCCATCCCTCTTGGGCTTGGTGCAGGCGAAGCTGAGCCCAAAGTTTGTAGATGGGCATTTCATGTCCCTTATATGGAGGGTTTGTTGTCGTTTGCTGGATACCAGGGCGTTTTACCTCTGAGCCCCAGCCCCAGCCCTTTTTATATTTTATTTAGAGACAGAGTCTCACTGAGCTGCTTAAGGCCTCACTAAGTTGCTAAGGCTGGCTTTGAACTTGCGACCCTCCTGCTCAGGCTCCCCAGCTGCTGGGATGACAGGCGTGTGCCACCACACCCAGCTTAAGTAGAGTTTTTAAAGGAGGAAATTTCATGTGAAGGAAATAATGGATTTCTGACTCCTCTTAAAGTTTGGAAGTGGCCTTTGTTCCCTCCTGGCCAAAGCGGCTTCACTTCCTTCCCTCCAGCCCTCCAGTCGGTGATTTTCCTCTCTCAGGGTCCCTCCTGGCGCCTGCCAATCATTCGAGTTGGCGTCATTAACTGTTCGAATGGAGGCGCTGGAGGCGTCCCCGCTGCGGCCACCAGGGGGCGGTGCAGGCTCGCCGCGCGGAGGGCAGGGAGCAGGTGGTGCCCAGGGGCAGCGCGGGCTGGAGCTGAGAGCCCAGTGCGTGCGACGTTGAGGATGCTGCTCTTGCAGGTGACGGTGTACGAGCTAGAGAACTTCCAGGGCAAGCGATGCGAGCTCTCGGCGGAGTGTCCCAATTTGACCGACAGCCTGCTGGAGAAGGTGGGCTCCATCCAAGTGGAGTCCGGGCCGTAAGTACCTGTCCAGGCCCCGAAAGGCTCCACCTCCTGGGCGCAGGAGCTCAACACCGGCTGCTGCGGGCCCTAGACAGCTCCCCTCCGCTCTGGCCTCGGTTTCCTCATCTGTAGAATGAGAGAGGTTCTTTTAGAAAAAACTTCAAGCTCTCGATTGCCAGGGCAAGTGGCAGGAAAGAGGACAGACTGACTCCATGACCAAATAGTGAATATTCAATTTATATCACTGCAAATAAATAAATGGCTATGATATTTGTAATTTCCTTTTCTTTTTTTGGTACCAGGGGCTCTTTATCACTGAGCCACATCCCCAGCCCTTTTTTTCCATTTTTATTTTGAGACAAGGTCTTGCTAAGTTGCTTAGGGCCTTGCCAAGTTGCTGAGGCTGGCCTCAAACTGGCGATCCTCCTGCCTCAGCCTCCCAAGTTGCTGGGATGACAGGCATGTACCACTACACCCTGGGGATACTTATAATTTCAAATAAAAATATCATCTCAAGTTTGACAAGTATTGCTCTCATCCTATGAGAGAGGTGCCATTCTTATCTCCACAGATGAGGAAACTGAACCCCAGTGATCAGGAGTCCCACCCATGTCTACAAGCAAGTCCAGACGCTGGCACTGACCATCTGAGTGACCCTGGACAGATGCACATCAGATAGATAAATGAAGAGCAGGAGGGAGGGGGAGGGAGGGAGGGAGGAATTCAGGAGCAGAGGAAGAGGGGGGTGCTCTACAGAACACTGGCCACGTGTTGGGTGTCATGCTAAGACTTTCTGAGCACCCTCCTCACAGACTGGACGTCACATGGATTCTAGAAAACAGGTCCTACGATGGTTTCTGGGTCCAGGGTCTCAGATTTATTCAGCATGTCCCGGTCCATCCACAGGAGACCCAGGAATCAGCAGCAGGGCTGGGGCCAGGCAGGGAGCCAGGTCAGAGCCACCCATCCCCCAGATCTGCAGGCCTGGGTCTCCACTCTGCCGCCCTGGAGGTGACCCAGGCCCTCCCTCCCCCAGGTGGCTGGCGTTTGAGCGCAGGTCCTTCCAGGGAGAGCAGTTTGTCCTGGAGAAGGGAGACTACCCTCGCTGGGATGCCTGGTCCAACAGCCGCCACAGTGACAGCCTCCTGTCCCTCCGGCCTCTGGAAATCGTGAGCACAAGCCCCGCCCCCACCTGGGTGGTAGCCATGGCCCTGGCCTGGAGGGGCCCCCAAATGTCTGGCCCCATGATAGTGAGACGAGGTTGGCTACTGAGTGGACACTGGATGCAGGGGTGGGAACACCGGGGCTCATCTTGAATTAACCCATGCCGCCCTGGGGTCTCCGTTTGTAACCCTGTTGAAATGAGAGGCCTCGGGGTCCAGGAAACACCCCAGGAGATAACCAGAAATGAACTCTGCGGCACTTCCAGTCCTTCCTGGCTTTCCTCTGATACCCATGTGTGCCCACTCCTGTCCACGGCAGCCCTTCTCCTGCTCCCACGACCCCGTGCTCCTCCTGGGCAGTGCCAGGGGAGGCCAGGGGAGGCCGGGGAGGCCGGGTGAGACCTGGTCCAGCAGGGCGGGGTGGCGCCTGCGTCAACACTGCCCATCCACTGCTGCTGCCCCGGGCCTCAGTTTCCCTCTCTGTCGCCATGGGTGGAATGACAGCTGCTTCCTACCTGTGGCTCTAAGATCCCCCAGGTCCCCGCTGAGTCTCTCCCGCCCTCTCCCTCCTGGGTCAGCTCTGGGGTGGCCGTTGGCTCTCTCCTCCTCCCGGGGCGTCCCCGAGCCCGTCGGGGTGGGGTGGCCGGCTCAGCCCCGCTCTCCCCCAGGACGGCCCCGACCACAAGCTGCACCTGTTCGAGAACCCCGCCTTCAACGGCCGCAAGATGGAGATAGTGGACGACGACGTGCCCAGCCTGTGGGCGCACGGCTTCCAGGACCGCGTGGCCAGCATCCGGGCCATCAACGGGACGTAAGGGACCCGGCGCACCCTTGCCCTGCCCCGTCTCCGCTCTCTGTTCCGCCCAGCAGCGACCTGTGTCCTCCAGGCCGCAGGGGACCATCCTGCTCAGAGTCCCAGTCGGCTGCACCCAGGATGGGGACGTCCCGTCGGGTGCTCTCACCACTGGGACCCCAGAAACTTTTTTTTTTCCATTGAAATTGGTCCCCTACCTGTCCCCATCGAAACCTCTACTCCTTTTCTGGACATATCCAGGCCTTGAAAGTGATTCTTGGACTGTCCTTTCTTCTTCACAGTCCTTGTCCCCCTGATCCAGGGCGTGAGATGTATGACGAGGTGTGACCTGAGTTCTTCCTAGGAGAGCAGACTGAATCACTTCCCTCCTTCTAGGCTTCATATCACTGTTAATGCAACCTTAAGGCCACATGCCCTCTGTTTGTGGTTAGGTCTCATGGTGGGCCTATGATTTGGGTTGATCCTTCCTGTGAAAATTTACTCAGGGACTTTTTGCTGTGCGAGGTATGGGACACAGGGAACCCTAAGAACTACATGGCCACTGCCCTCAAGAATTTCACAGGCCGATAGGGAGACAGACAAGGAGACGGGTATTCACAGCTGGTTGTGATCAGAGTTGTGGAGGCAGGCATATGCCTCTGGGAGTCCCGGGGAGCTATTCAGTTCAGCCAGGAAGGGCTTTCTAGAGGAAGAAGGAACTAAACGGAGTGTAAGGGGTGCAAATGGAAAGGGGAGGAATAGGGCAAGGTAAGGAAGAGTGTGCCAGGCAGGAGGAACAGCATGTACAAAGGCTCAGCATGTACGGAGGCTCAGCGCACAGTGTGAAGAGGGACGTGGAGAGAGCACCTAGGGGTTTTGCAAGGATCTGGTGAGAGGGTTCGCGGTTTAGGCGCATCCCAAGGGCACTGGGGAGCCGAGGAGGAGCTCGGGCGGGTAGCAGGCAGTGGCAGAGTCGGTGGCTGGCCGAGGCGGGGCCTGGTGACAGCTGTCCTCAGCCCAGCCTTATCCCTGCAGGTGGGTCGGCTATGAGTTCCCGGGCTACCGCGGGCGCCAGTACGTGCTGGAGCAGGGCGAGTACCGCCACTGGAACGAGTGGGACGCCAACCAGCCGCAGCTGCAGTCTGTGCGCCGCATCCGCGACCAGAAGTGGCACAAGCGGGGCTGCTTCCTCAGCAGCTGAGGGGCACGGTCCCGCGGCCTTGGCCCGCCCTGGGTGGCCTCAGGGCAGGAAGAGGGGGCTCCAGGGTGGGGCGAGGGCCTGCTGTCCGCCTCCCCGAGTCTGCTCAATAAACCCTGGGGTCAGTCCCCCACCTGCCACGTTCCTCTGCCTCGCTTCCTGGGCGAGCCCTAGGGCGGGGCTGGGGGCGGGGCGCGGAGGGAGGGCGGGGCTGGGGGCGGGGCAAGGAGAGGCTGGGGGCGGGGCGAGGAGGGAGGGAGGGGAGGGGGAGGGGCTGTCTGCACCGCGGGGGGGCTCTCCTGTCTAGGGAGGGACCTGTGTCTCTGCCACCGCGGCATGTCCAGCTGGCAGTGTGTCTCCATCCACCACCCACCCACCTGTCCATCCGTCCATCCGTCATCCTTCCATCCAGTTGTCTGCCCATCTATCTGTCCATCCATCTACTCATCCATCAGTCCAGTTGTCTGTCCATCCTTCCATCCACCCATCCGTTCATCCATCATCCATTATCCTTCCATCCAGTTGTCTGCCCATCTGTCGATCCATCCACTATCCATCTCTCCATCCATCCATCCATCCATCCACCCATCCATCAATCCTGTTGTCTGTCCATCCATCTGTCCATCATTTGTCCATCCATCTGTCCATTCATTCGTCCATCCATTCATCCATGCATCATCCATCCACTTGTCTGTCCATCCGTCCATCCAACCATCCATCCATCCGGTTGTCTGTCTGTCCATCCTTCCTTCCTTCCTTCCTCTCTTCCATATGCTAGAGCTGCTTTCTTCCATGGGTTCTTCTGTCCTGACTCCCCCACCGTCCATCTGTCCATCCATGGACTCTCCCTTCAGTCCACCCACCCGGTCCTCCTCCTATCCGTCCATCTGTCCGTCATCCAGCAGCCGCCGGCCCGCCGCCTGCCTTCCCCTGCTCCTCATTCCCCCGACTCTCTCTGTTGGTCGGGTGACAGTGACGTTATTAATCAGGCAGCACATGCCAGGCCCTGTCCCAGGTCCAAGGACACAGCACAGTGGAGGGTCTCCCTTCTGAGGGAGAGATGGACAGAGATCCCCGGGTGGAGCTGGAGGCTGCAGGAGGCAGGGGTTTCAGGGGGCGGGGGGCGGGTCTGGGAGGGGATCTGCTTGGAGGCTGGCGTTGGAGCGCCCGCGTGGACGCACCCCAAGGCCTTCCCAGTGGAGGAACAGCAGGTTTGAGGCCCTGGGGGGGTGTGGGTGGCCAGAGACTGCAAGGCGTCCCAGTCGGGGGGCAGCTCACCAGGGCTCCGCAGGCCGGGGCCACTGAGGCTCTGTCTGCCTTGGGGCTGGACACGATGGCTCGGGCTGAGGTGTGGAGTGTGCCCTGAAGGATCAGTGAGGACAGGGAGGCCACCCCACACCCCAACCCCCGTTGCCCTGTGAGTTGTGCAGAGCCACCTGGGGACGCAGCCCTCTACTCCCTCCACTGCCTGCTCCTCCCACTCTCTGGGGCTCATGGGGGTGACCGGAGTCGTGAGGGGAGCCTGTGAGGAGCCAGACATGACGGGCCCTCCCTGCCCGGCTTGGGAAGAGGGGCTCCTGCTGACGGTCAGCCTTAACCACCTTGCCGCAGGCTTGCTCAGGGCCGCTGCCCACCCTGCAGGCTTCCTGGGCTGCTCCCTGTGTACCAGAGCCTGGCTTCGCCTCCCCAGGAGCAGCTGAAGCAGCTGGGGTGTGGGAGGCCCTGGGGGCCTTGGGAAGGCTTTGAAAAGAATGTGGCAGGTTGTAGTTATTCCAACCTGTGTGTTCACACACACACACACACACACACACACACGGAATCCCCTTGACTTCTTGCTCTGCTGTGTGTGGGAGAGCAGGATGGGCCTCAGGCTTGGCTGGATCAGGGTGCCCCTGAACAAGGCAGGAGTGGACCCCCCCCCATGGGGATGGCAGCCTCCCACTCTGTCCCCTTCATTGTTTCTACAAGGAGCAGTTTCACTGTACTCCATAAATGAGCGCTTGCTGAGGACTAAGGGCTTTGTAGACATCATCTCATTGAATTCAAAGAATGTCACTGAGAGGTAGGCACGGCGGGCGGGTAGGCCCATTTCACAGACAGGCCAACCACGGTCCAGAGAGGCAGGATTCCTTTCCAAGGCCACACAGAAAAGAAGTGGAAGGGATGAGACTCCACCCCTGGGTACTGATTCTAGCACATTCCTTCCTGAGCCTCACACACTCACACATCCACCAGGGACAGGGAGAGGCCATTATAACTGCTGTCCTGGGAGCTGCTGCTGAGCCCACGGTGGGGACGGTCACAACGGTTCTCACCTGCAGAGAGAACTGACGTAAGTTCCCCCAGGGCCACAGCTTACACGGCCTGGGACCGGACTCCCGTCAGGGCCATCTCCAAAGCCCATGTGTCCACTCTGTGGGCTGTCGATGGCCGTGACCAGTCCACCTGCTCCTGCTGCTGCTGCTGATGTGTTTAATGAGCATCTGCTGTGTCCTGGGCACTGGGCCGGCAGCTGACCAGGCCTGACGTCAACACCATGATGGCCGTTGATGGGCTGCTGGGCAGCAGGTCAGGGCAAGCTAGGCAGGGAGGGCCGTGCACGTGGGGTGGGGTGCCCGCCCCTCCTGTGTTCAGAGCCGGGAGCTGGGTTGATTCTAGAGGAGGGGTTCAGCTGGAGCCCCAGACCCAGGGCAGCTCCAGGTGGACACTGATGTCCAAGTGACTGTCCAAAGCCTCAAACCCAGAACTACGATCTGGTCTCTTCAAGCACCTAGGAACTGTCCTACTCAGACCTGTGGCCCTCTGGGAGGCTCAGAGAAGGCAAGTCAACTGCTGAGGTCACACAGCCAGGGAAAGGCAGAGCTAAGACTCGTCCCCAGTCGGGTCTGACTCCAAAAGCCAGCTCACGGGTGTGATCCACCCCAGATCAGACCCTGTCTTCTGCAGGGCACAGCATGAGAGTGACAGTAATGCAAGAGTGTCCCCCAGTCACTGGAGAATGAAGCTCAATGACCAGTGTAACTGAGAGACAGTGCAGCTAAATGGTTAGAGGGAGTGAGGACAGGGGACTGGAGGCGGCAGGACTGAGTTGGGTCCCTGCCCTGTCCCAGTGGGATTGCTTTCCGGGCTTTGACGCTTACTGTGTGCCTTTGGGCAAACGACATAACCTCTCTGTGCCTCCTTTTCCTCCTCTGTAGCTTGGAGATAGGAAGACCCGCTATCTCCTAGGTTGTCGTGAGTGTCCACATGAGATGACGATGAGAAGGAAACCAACAGGCTTCCAGAGGTCCACTCCAGACCCTGGAGGCAGCCCCTGGGTGTCCGGAGCAGAGCAGTCCCTGTTAGCCAGCCATGGGGGTGTATCCTAAAGGCTTCCGAGGGCCAGGTGGCAGGGCAGCCTGGCCGTGCTCTGAGGGTCCAGCCTCTGAGGTTTTGTGGGTGCCCAGGACCCAGAGCCAGAGCCCCCAAGCCCTCTGTAGCTGGGCGGCTGGCTCTGTGGCCACCCCCCAGAGAGCCCACTAATGAGCTAAGCGGGGGACCTCGTTATTCTCAGGGGTTCTTTGTACCACTCCCTGCCACCGACCTCCCCCAGCCTTACCCTGGCCATCTTTCACCTGCCGTCGGGGTGGCAGCAGACTCCAGCCATGTCTCCCAGGACCCTGTGGTGGGCTGTGCTGGGCCAGTTCTGTCTGCGGGCACCTGGCATGACTGCTGGGGACATTCCCCTGTGCCTGGGGACACTCACACCCCCTGGGAGGGGACTCCGTCTCCTAATGGGAGCTGGTAGATAAATGCCTCAGATCCCCGGACCACAGATGGAACCTTCCAGGGCTTCGTCACCATCATGGAAAGTCATGGCACCCGTGGCAGTGTGGTCTGTGGTATTTGCAGCATCAAAAAAAAATCACTCCTGGCCCCTTTTGCACATGTAGCTGTATTATGTTCCAGATGCTTCTATATCCCAGTAACTCAGGAGGCTGAGGCAGGAGGATTGCAAGTTGGGGGTCAACCCAGCAACTTAGCAAGGCCCTGAGTGACTTAGCAAGACCCTGTCTCAAGATAAAAAAATAAAAGGGGATGTGGCTCAGTGGTCAGGCAACCCTGGGTTCAGTTCCCAGCACCAACCAGCCAACCAACAAACAAAACCCTGCTCACTGAGGTGAATGAACATCTTGAACATACATTGACTTCCTAGCCCAATGTATCCATGATAATTCTCCTGTCTTAGATCACCTGGCACAGCTGTGTCAAAGCCTTTATATATTGAAGCATATTGTTACAGATTGAATTGTATTATACTTTTCTACTATAGTTACAGTTGTGACAGCTTTTCATTAATCTTTTTTTGGGGAAGCTTGTACGTAGGTAGGTTGTATTATCAATTTTATTTCAAGAGAATAAGAGGCTGTTACAAAAAATTATCAGAAGTATGGAGCAGAAAACTGCTCTCAGCTTATCTTGGGGGTGTCTTCCGCCTCTGACTCCTTCGTATCTAAGGACCAAATTGAGTTTTTCCAAGGAGGACACTGAGGTGAGCTCTCTCCATGGGAACAGGAAGGTGGAGAGGAGGGTCCAAGCCCTTTCTTCCCATGTATCCGTCAAGCTGTGCTGCATAACAAACAGCCCCCTTGTCTTGGTGGCTTAAAACAACAAAGGTGTTTTTCTCCCTGATGCTGCATGTCCACTGCTGGCCAGCAGGGGGACTCTGCTCCACACGGTCACTCAGGGGTCCAGGCTGATGGAGACTCTGCTGTCTCACAAGGCTGCCGACACGGGACAATGGAAGAGGAGAGTCCACTGCAAAGTCTGCTCCGGCGGTAGAATGATTTCCACCGGAAATGTTGTCAGCCACGTTTATCAGCTGCAAGGAGTCACGGGACCTCCCTGCTAATCCAGGAAGACCCAGCGGTGACCCTCCTGTGAATACGCCCTGTACCGGCTCCTCCCCTTCCCTGCCCCTTGTCCCTCTCCACGTCCTTGTGCTCCCTGGACTTCCAAGTAAATGGCCCCCTCTTCCCTCTGTCTGAGGGACTGCCTCCCGTGGGGCCCGGAAGAGACAGCCTCATTTTTGCCATTTCTCCCCAACTCGTGGGTCCCAGCCAACGGTCATCTTGCAGCCCACCCAGGGGTAGCAGCCTGGGATC